TACATATAATTTTAAATAGGTACTTATACCTCAAAAATGAATAAACATGAAATTCGTTCATATGTAACAATACTCATTTAAAATAAATCAAAATAACAATATTCTATTGTTATGTCTGATCAATTTACTCTATAATCATTTCTCTTAATTTTTTAGGTTATTTAAGTATTAAGTGTTATTAAAGAAAAAAAATTGAAATGCCTGTTGAATCATTAAGTTAGTGATATCACGTTTATTATTATAGATAACTGTTAACATGAAAATTATTTTTATAATATCATTTGAGGTATTGTTTAGATAGTTCTATTCAATAATACGAACATCGGCAATAATTGTTTTCAACTAACACATGCTAAATCATTTTCCAGCAACTTCGAATAATGTGATCGAATAAGCGGGGAATTTATATTCAATGCTATTGTTGGCAGCAGTAGTAACGCTTTCCACAATCTTAGTAAGATTGTTCCGACTGTACGTATAGACCTTAGTACTGGCCGAGTGGTCGAAGTTCTTGATTTCGATCTTCGTATCAATTTCGTTGGTAGGGTCCTTGTTAATGGCAATAATAGTCAACTTATTGTCTGACGATCGGATCGACGCATAAATTGCAAGCTGCTGTTCGTCACTCGATTTTGCACTAACACTGGTTGAACCGAACTGAGAGCCGTTTCCGTCGTAATTGCGGTACACCCTGTTTGGCATGGTGAGAAATTAATATACAAATCAACTAAAGAAAACTGAAATTGTATTCCTTGGGCATTCAAAATATCGGAAATTCATACATTTATACACACATACAGGGTTTGTCTGGAAAGTAATAGGACTGATTTCCTTCCGCCGCGACTGTACTTCGGAGCGTGCGCGCACTGACTGGATTCGGTAGAGGGCATTCCTAGCTAACGAACGAACGGCTGCTGAGTTGTCTCAGAGCACCTGGAGAGTCAGAAAAGGCTTTTTTGCGCGACGTATTTCTGGGAGTGGTGCAAGCCGAAAATGCAGCGTTCGTTACAGCAGAGGTACGCGATTAAATTCTGTGTGAAACTAGGTAAATCTGCGACAGAGACGTTGTATATGATCAAACAGGCTTACCCAGATGTTGCTTAAGCAGAAGTGGTGTGTTTCGATGGCACCAGGCCTTTTCAGAGGGCCGGGAAGAAGTCGCCGATGAAGACCGTGCTGGAAGACCTTTGACTTCGACAAACACCGAAAATGTGACTCGTGTGCGCGAAGTTATGAACTCAGACCGTCGACTAAGTATTCGTTTAATTGCCCAGATATTAAATTTACCAAAATCTGTGGTTCATGGAACATACGCAAAGATGGTCCCAAAAGTGCTCACTGACGACCAGAAATTACGGCGAGTGGAAGTGTGCCAAGAAAATTTAAACATGTGTGAAAGTGACCCCCAATTTTTGAATAAGGTAATCACAGGTGACGAGTCATGGATCTTTGAGTATGATCCCGAGACAAAGAGGCACACGCCGGCGTCTCCTCGCCAAAAAAAAGGGAACAATGAGCAAATCCAAAGTGAAAACGATGCTCATTGTCTTTTTTGACATGAAAGGCATCGTCCACCATGAATTTGTTCCTCCTGGACAAACCGTCAACGCCAAGTTTTACGTGGAAGTGCTCAACAGACTCAAACGAAGGGTCAATTGGGTCCGACAAGACATCGCAGTCGAGAGGAAGTCGCACCACGACAATGCCCCGCTTCCCACCACCTTTNATAATGACATTTTGCTTAGCTTTGCTTATTTTTCCATATATAAAGTTTGTTGTAATAAAGATGCTATACTCTAGCTGTAGACTAGGCCTTACACCGTGTGTGTATTGTAGCTTTGCTCAATAAATATTTTTTAAAAAGACTTTTCCTTAATTTGAGCATATAACATTTATACTTATAAGTAAGGAAGTGACAGGTTTCTTGATTAGTGTGAATGAGTGTGGGTGAGGGAAGTGCAGAGGGACTTTGCGCACTCCGTCCCAAAGGACTGTTGGTTAGTTATAATAAAATTGAATAAAACATACCTAAAAACGGCTGGGAAATGCCTTGTAGACTTGAAGAAATCACAAGTGCGAGCTCGAATGGTTCGGGTTCGTACGATGACGACGGGCGTGGTCTAGAAGAGTCGCTTGTTACCACCGCAACCGTTGCACCTTCCGACACGAGAGCGATGTTCACCCGTCGACCGCCAGCTGCCGAAACCGAGCCTACTCCACCACCACCAGTATGTATAGTAATAGCGCGTCGATCGTGCGAACCCCGAAAACTCTACTTCAATGTGCAAGGATGTTGGACCTTCTCCTGCTGCTCAGGCTGAATCATCCGATTCAGACACTCCCCCTACCACCCCTGACGGCTTCACTCAAGCCGGTAAGCGACGCAATAAGCGCCGAAGACTTTCCTATCTTCGGCATCTTCAACGTCCTCTGACTCAGAGGCAGACACCGGCGCTACCAGCCAAATGAAAAAAGCTCCCCGCCCAATCGAAATCCGGCAAAAGTCCCTTTGGCCGAAAATTCTTCGCGCCATGGACAGCCACGGCATCGCCACTCGTCGGGCGATAAATACAAAAGACTCTATAAGAGTCTACCCCAACTCCGTGGAAGATTTTCGTCGACTCCCGTCGTTCCTCGACGAATCTAAAGTTGAGTTCTCTACGAACCAACTTAAGCAAGACCGTGACCTTTATGTTGTCCTTCGTGGAGTGTGCGAAGACATTTCCTCTGAAGACGTCAAAGCCGAGCTTACGCACGAAAGCTTTGCCATACGCGGCGTACATCGAATGTCAAACGGTGGGAAAATCTGGCCCTTAGTGTCTGGACCGCTCCTCTCCCAAGTCCAAGTCAATCTTCGAACTTGGCAAGGTCTGCGGGCTCAATGTAATAGTTGAGCCGAAAAAGGCCACAAAAGATGTCCCGCAATGCCGCCGTTGTTTGAAGTTCTTTCACACGGCCAATTATTGTCACGCCGCATGGGTTTGCGCTTTCTGTGGTCGTAACCACATAACCGAAGAATGCAAAACCAAGGACAAGAAGAATGCCACTCCCACTTGTGCCAATTGTAAAGACAACCATCGTGCCACATACCGCGGCTGCCCGAAGGTTCCAAAGAGAGCCGCCCCCTCTCATAAATCAGTGGTACCTCCCAATCCCCAAAAGTTCACTCAAGCAGCGCCCCGCCCAACAGCCCTCCCCGGAAGGACGCTGCCCCAAAAGTTCTACGCCAGGGCAGTGGCAGCAACTCCGCCCCCTCCTCCCCAAAAACGCATTGCGTCCCCAAACACCCCTTTAACTTCTTCTCTTGATCAGAGAATCCAGGCCATCGTCCAAACGATGGTAGCAAGTCTGGTCGCCGTCCTTCAAACACCCACCAATGTATAACGCAGCCCAGCCACATAACCTTCGAGTAGTTACCTGGAATGCGCAAAGCATTACAGGTAAATTGACCGAACTCGAGCACTCCCTTGAGGATAAGTCAATCGGTGTGACTTGCATCACCGAAACTCACCTGTCCGAAAAAATCAAACTTTTCGTCCCAAATTTCTCATCCTACAGAAGAGACCGCGATCACGGCAGTGCCGGAGGTGTCGCCATTCTCGTAAGGAATTCTTTAGTGCATAGGCCTATCTCTTTGGCCAGAAACTCGTTAGAGACAGTCGGCATCGAAATTTCGTTAACCACCGGCCCTCTTAGGATTATCTCTCTCTACTCCCCTCCTTCGGACAGGGACCTTTCTGAGTTCCCCCTTCTACTCCCCCCAGGCGTTCCAACCATCGTCGCAGGCGATTTCAACGCCAAACACGTTTCTTGGGGTTGTCGACAAACCAACAATAAATGCACTTTCCTTCTTACCAAAATTCCTGTCTTCAACCTCACAGTTGAAGCACCCTCTGACCCCACATTCCTCCCTGCCCCCCACCCATCTATTCCCTGACGTTCTTGACATTTTCGTCACGAAAAATGTCACACTTTCCGCCGATCCTATCGTCATAGACGCATTAAGCTCGGACCACCTTCCAGTCCTCATTGAAGTCGGCCGCCCAATCCTCAACCCCCCAAACCCAACCACGTCACAGATTGGCTTCACATTCGTTACACCCTTGAAACACCTTCATTCAAGTGCACTCCAATTCGCACAATAGCGGAACTTGACGAAGCTGTGAATCTCCTTTCAAACGAGATCTCCAGTTCGCCCCGCCCCAAGCCCACCAAAGACAGAACCCGCCACCAGTAGCAAAAACACCACAATCCCGCACACCGTGCCGAATTAAACACCATTCGGCGAGAACTCAAAACTCGCCTAACGGAATTCCGCAACGCTTCGTTTGACGAATACATCGCTCAAGCAGAACTGCACCCCAAAAGCACTTGGAAAGTGATCCGCTCTCTCCGAAACAGAGCTCCCCATCTCCCACCATTAAAACAAAATGGTTCCCTATACACTTCAGATGAGGAAAAAGCTGCAACCTTAGCAGATTTTCTCTGTCTCCAGTGCTCTCCACTACCCAGCCCGGTGGATTTAGCCAACTTTCACGAGAAAACCAAAGCCAGCTCTCAAAACTTCGTCCCCACTGTTTGCTACTTCACGCACACGTCCCCACGTGAAATCTTCCTCACCATCCGATCTCTGAAAAACAGAAAAGCCACTGGCGCTGACGGAATTGCCAACGGAGTCCTCAAAGTCCTGCCACACAAAGCACATAACCGCACTGTGCAACATCACGAACGCCATCATGCTGCTCCACCATTTCCCTTTGGTCTGGAAAAAGGCCACTGTCATCTGTCTCCCCAAGAAAGGGAAGCCGCTCAGCTCTCCCTCAAGCTATAGACCAAGCCTGCTCAGTTCGTTGAGCAAAGTAGACGAATCCATTCTTCTTGACCGGCTCTTAGACCATGTGGAGCAAAACAACCTTCTCCCCGACTTTCAACACGGTTTCCGCAGGCAACACGGCACCGATCATCAACTTCTTCGCGTAAGCGAACATATCTCCGACAATCTTAACAAGCGGCGTCACACTTCCATGCTACTTCTTGACGTCCAGCAGGTCTTCGACCGAGTCTGGCACGAGGGCCTTATCTCTAAACTCATCGCCCTTAACATCCCACACTTTCTAGTTGGGATAATCAGGTCCTTTCTCACAGACAGAAGCCTTCGAGTCCGCGTGGGCTCTGCTCTCTCTGCCAGTAAACCCATCACAGCTGGTGTCCCACAAGGTTCCAAACTTTCCCCTATTCTGTTTATCCTGTTCTGCGCGGACATGCCCTCCCACCCTTCCATTATGACTGCTCTGTACGCCGACGAAATTGCCATCATAAACTCTTCCAGCGCCATTCTCCATTGCACAGCGAGAAACAATAGGTTTCTGTCCCAGCTCCTAAACTGGTATCGTAAATGGAGACTCTCCATTAATGAGACCAAATCGAAAACCTCCTTCCATCATCGTCAACAACCGCCCCATCAAATGGAGCACCTCTGTCACGTACCCAGGCGTCGTCTTCGATAGACGCCTAACCTGGCGGCACCACATTACGGCGACCCGTAACAAGGCTCTGGGTGCATTCGTCGCACTTAAACCTTTCTTCCGTAATAGGAACATCTCCCAACAGACCAAAATCCGTGCGTTTAACGCAATTATTTGGAGCATTTGTTCCTACGCCATCCCTATTTGGGGCTGCACCCTTCCCTGT